CCTGATTGGAGATTGTAAAATAGACCAAATGAAAGCCATTCTTGGTGAATGATGCTACAACTTTTTGACATTTTTGTTGAGGTTTTATGCCATCAGTTGTTTTTTTTTCCTTGGAGCTGTTTTTCCCTCATGAGTGGTATGGATTTGAATAAGAAAGAGTCCATATATAAAACTTAGTAGTGTGTTCTTTGAGTTATTTTTTAGTTAATTGCATTTTTTTCCATCATGATTTTATGAAAAATAAGAGTAATAGTCACTGAAACAACAATTTTTTAACTGGAACACTGAATTAAACTCAATTCAAAACTCAAGTTTATCAGGTTGGTTTATGTGGAATCCCTTTGGCTTGATTCAGAGGCTATTTGCAAATTCATGGACAGGTGATAACATTTGGAAATTCAAAATTACCTTGCAATGCACATCATAAGAAGTTCAATGTGGATACTTATTGATCTTTTAGTTTTTATAATTTATGTGATTTAAGCTTTGTGTTGTTTCAGAAGCCCAAATTCTTCATATTTGCATATGTTTCTAATCTTTTATGTAGGACCTACCATTAACCCTCTGTATTCTCTCATCAGATCAGGTCTGACATTTGTCATTGCATTAAAAAAAAAACAGTGCAAAGGGTTAATGCAAGTATGGAGACTCTCTGTTAGATGGAGTTTAAACTAAATGTTTTCAGGATTACCAATTGCCACTTTATGTTGATACAATGAAATAAGTACTATTTCAGCTTAAATGTTCTGAAATCATGAGTGAATAAAAAAATTAATAACATAATGTTAAATGATAAGCATGTAGAACAGTGAGTTGCATTAAGTTCATGGGACTTTTTTCTGATGCCTGGGGAAACTTTTTTTGCTTGAAAATAGCATGTCAATTACATGAAGCCAATAGTTGTTTGATCCATTATAGTGCTTATCAAATGGATTCACCCCCCTCTTACTAAGGGCTTCTATGACTCGCCATGCTTTTCTATGACGCATCTGCGGATGTTGGAACTGCTAATAACAACTAATCAAGGTAGATGTCGCCCACATCACTATGTCCTGCATTCTAAACGGTTGGGGAAAGTGTATTCATCCATTCTGAGTTTTCCATTTAAATCTCACTTAGTCTTCCAACAAAATAAATAATATTAATTTATGAAAGACTCTTTTGGGGAGATAATGACATGCCCCTAACTTCTTTCTCTTATTCATTTTAATCACATCAATGATACCCATTGACTAACGAAGGATTTCATAATCATTATTTAGACTCAGAGGAGGGAAAAATTACATTCTATACTCAAATTTCTTGTATTTCTACATTTGATCAATTTTATTCATTAACTTAGGCATCAACTGGATTCTAGTCCAATTCTTCTTATTTGTAAAAAGTACATCGAACGTAGATCGCCTGCCATATGAGGTTTTCCTAGAAGGCAAAGGAAAGCTTCCATGAAAACCAAGACTATGGAGAAGGATTCAGAAAGTTAACAATTAAAATTTCGTTTAACTCATCTTCGGATTTCCGGAATATTGAGAAATGTGAAATTTTTTCAGGTGTCTTTTCATGTATTATAAAATTATAAGGTAAAAATAAAAAATGCATCAGAATTATAAGGTATATGACTGATTTCGTGATTGCGTCGATGACAAGGTGACTATATCATTTTTACTTAGGTGCTCTGACATTCCTCAAGGTTTACTTCACTCGAACTTTTTAAAGGAATGTTGGTTCCTGCTCGTTCTGATCAGCTGTATTATGTCAAGTTTGCGAAGCTCCTTCAAGGTATCATTCTGGTCTATTACAAGGTGACTAAATCGTTTTTACTTAGGTGCTCTGACATTCCTCAAGGTTCACTTCACTCGAACTTTTTAAAGGAGTGTTGGTTCCTGCTCGTTCTGATCAGCTGTATTATGTCAAGTTTGTGAAGCTCCTTCAAGGTATCATTTTGGTCTATGGTAGGTGGGTACCTTGCTGGGATCGCAAATGTGGATAGTTTAGCTGTTTATGGGATGAAAAACAGATGTCACTCTCTTCTCACAGCCAGCAGCGCCACCACCCACTGCGGGGGGGGGGGGGGTGAATTCATTCGATAAGCACTGTAAGTGAGATAAACACACTCAAAAGGTAATGCCCCTGTTATGCATCTCCGTTTCTTTCAGACGCCGTGCTTCTCCCCCCTACATCTCGACAATGACACGCTTGACGAAAAGTCACATTCTGACAAGATTTGTAGTTTAGATTCCACCCTAACCGGCGGTATACATTTTGAGCTGTGCGCCTTCATTTTAGTCTAATACTCTCCCAAATAGGACCATCCTCGATCTCACCTCTCCCAGGAAGTCAGGCAACTTTCCGTCTCTCTCAAGCACCTCCAAAATGGCTCGTCTCGTGAAACATCCTTTTCAGACAAGATTTGGAGCTCAGAGTCCATTCTGGTCTGCGGTATACATTTCGGAGCAGCACGTTCATATTCACGAAAGGAAATATAATACCCATATTAGGAGATTCAGTTCCCCCCCAACAACTCGGCGCCGTCTTTCTTTGCGTGATATAGACATAGAGACAATATTCCGGGCCCCCCCCCCCCTTAATCCGGCCCTGAATTGAAGACGCACATCTTCAAAATGTATTACAAAATTCCCGGCCCCCCCCCCCCCCCCCCTTAATCCGGCCCTGAATTGAAGACGCACATCTTCAAAATGTATACCACCAGTTAGGGTGGAATCTAAACTACAAGTCTTATCAGAATGTGACTTTTCGTCAAGCATGTCATTGTCGAGATGTAGGGGGGAGAAGCACGGCGTCTGAAGGAAACGGAGATGCATGATAGAGGCATTATCTTTTCAGTGTGTTTATCTCACTTAAATATGGTCAAAAAGCAAGCAAAATTATACAGTGACTAGGACAGACTCTGTCAGTGGCGTGGTTTGTCTATGGAGAGGGGGTATGCAGAGGAGGTCGCTGCCTACCCCTCTCCATAGACGAACCACTAGCGCTAAATATCACCAGCCGCCACTGGACTCTGTACTACAAATCTTGTTCAAGCCGAATTTTTCGTAAACCGAAACGCTTTCGAGATAAAGGAGGGAGAAGCGAGGCAACCCTCGCGATCCATTGTTCACTACGGGAGCACGTGGCATTGTTTCCCGAACTCAACGGCTCCCCGTCCACAGCCAATCAGCGCACAACTGTGCAGAATCCACTTGAACTCCGCATACAGGTGGTATTGAGTGACAAATTTAACCTCCTTCCCTCGTGGCTCTCATCACACGAATGCTGTTATCAAAAAGACATGCTGAGCAGCTTTTAAACAAAGTCAAACATCCGCGAAAATGTATTCTATCATGAAATGTTGCATGTTACTTGAAACATTACTGAAAGTAATGATACTTTTTCGAATTCAATTCGTGCCCTTCCGCTCATTGGATCGTTTTCATCGATTGCAAGCTGCGACATCTGGCAGATGAGTGGTTTCGTGGATCCTCTGATGAGCGATCCTCCGCAGTGCTTTCTCTGAAACACTGTACTGTAGCAGACGACGACGATGGAAAACGCGGCTACGACGTTCATGATGGCCACTTCCTGTCGCGTGTTCAAGTCTTACCGGACCACAGACGACCTAGATTAGGGGTGTAGGCCGAGGTTAGAAACTTAGGCTATGCAAATTTTTTGTGCTCCAGTCGTTTCATTGTATTCCGGTTCATGCTTGTTACAGTCTTAATACATATGTTGAGCAGAGTCGGATCTTGTAGGGCCAGCTAAGTGTTGCGAACGAGTGGAAAGTTCAAGGTTTGGGTTGGGACGTCGAGTGACATTCCTGCCCCATTTGACGTTTCGAGTCGCTTAAGATAAACTTAATCCTCTAGAGGTGGTTTTCTCTGTTTTGTTGCTTGTCTTTATTTGTTATATTCCTTTATTCTTTTTTATGTTTATTTATTTAACCACAAGAGCATTTAACCTCTTGAAGCTATTGACGGAACAGCCGCTGCATCTTCACTTAACGTATACTCCACATTCGCAGCCAGTAATGTGACCGGATTTCTCCAGTTTTATCAGGAATATTTTCTCTGGGACTGTTCTAGTTTGGGTCACTGCCTTATGATACATTGAGCTACCAGGCATAAGTGGCAGAAAGCCTACTTTCACTTTAGACTGGAAATATGCCCTCCCTACTCTCATAACTTTATAAAAGACCCCAGCAACAGTCAACCTTGACCCAATTAGGCCCAAGTGATTACTCTTTGGATAGGCTACTTGGGTTTCACTTATATTGCTAGTTTACATGAAAATCACGTCTAGAGAGGGGAATGTTTTTGAGCTTCAGGATATCCTTTCTCAAACATGCTGGAACTTACTACCTTTGATATGTTTGGTTTTCAACCAGGTTTTTCACCTTTGGAGCTTAGCTTGCTACCAATCGGGTCATTCACATACCCGACCTGTCTTGATCAGAAAGCTGTCTCAGGTTTTTCTTTGCATTGCCCCTGTGTCTTATTCTTTTGTATAATGGCTCATCAGCACATGATTGCCTAGAAACATGTAGGAGCAAAGGTTTTTCCCCCCCATCAAAAGTTTAATTATCTAATTGAAAATACTCATTCGGTAAGTTGAGTTCACATATTTTTAACCCTTTGAACCATATCCCATGGCCACCAAAGTGACAGTGCTGCATCTAATGTATTTCTGTGGACCTTAGGTTACAGGTAAGATGAAAAGTAAAATTGACCATGGAAACTGCAGAACCTGTCAAGGCATGGATAGAGTGATATGTCATAGTATTTTATAAATTTAGCTTTTCCTATTGCAAATAGCAACAAATGCTGATTTTAAAAACATGCTTCAAATATAGATTATTTAGTGCTATGGAAGGTTAGTAAGAATCAATACAATAGGAAAAACAGTAGCCATCTAGCTACCATGTTCAAATTTAACTAGTGTACCAGTTTACATAATTAATGCTTGTTTACTTAGCAGGTTATAGGCAGAAATGAGCTAAATTGCCAATGCTGAAAAGTCTTCAATCCCTCATGGATCCAGTCACTGAGACCACTGATCTCATGCGACATTGGGAGGAGGAACATAGAGAGGAAGGTTATAATCCTGTGCCCACCCTTTCTCGCCTTGCAGAAATCATTGAGAAGGAAACTTATGTGTACCTGAAAACAGATCAAGATCCATTTGATGATCGGCATCCTTCAAGAGCAGATCCAAACTGCACACTTGGACATGTGCTTAAAGCTGTGTTCAAGAAGGAGAGCTTTATGAATAGCCTCATCACAGATTACCTATTTTGGGGCCATGGGGCTTCAGATGGTGGAAATTTAGAAGTAAGAACGGTGTCAGCCCGGCTAGTGGTAGACATCCTGCCAGGACTGGAAACATCTGTGGTCTTCCATGACAATGATGCCCTCATTACTGAGCTTTATAATTGGGCAGAGAAAGCTGAAGAACCACTTCGAACTTATGCAACTGGCCTCCTTGGGGCCATCATGGAAGTGCAAGACATTGCTGTGAATTTCAGAGAGCGAAATTCATCTCTTGTGCCTGTGATGCTTAAGAGACTGAAAGATTTGAGAGAAGAGTTTATTTCACATCACAAAGAGGAGGAAGTTAGTATGAATATGAAACGCCCATTTGCCCATTTAGGGGGCAGCTGCAATTCAGATATAACATCTCCCCCTAAGAAACGTCTGAAAACAGTGAAGGAATCACTTTCAGAAGTCCTCCAGAGTTCACCCACAAAGCTTGAGAAAGATCTCTCTTCCACTCAAAGCAAGACTTGGCTTCCTAAATCACCAAAAGGTCTGAATGATTGCAGTAATTCTTCATGGGCAGAAATGGAACCACACATATTTGGCACTTACAGCATTCATCCTCTGTCCCTGTCTACGAAGCAGCAAATGATTCTAAAATATCTCACTCCTCTTGGTGAGTATCATGAAATGTATGGGTGTGTTGTGACCCATGATGCTGCATCTTTGATAATGTCATACATTGATTTTAGTAATCCGTGCACTGATGCAAGATTGGCTTTTGAGGCATGTCGTTTCCTTGCTGCTCTCCTATGTCACAAAAAGTTTGCCCTTGATTTCATTGCATCAGGTTATCTGGAAAAACTGCCTCAAGTGCCAAGACCCTCCATAGCAGCAACTGGGGTGTCTATGTGTTTGTATTATTTGGCTTGCTGTGAAGATGCTATGGAAAGGGTGTGTTTGCTGCCTCCAAGTATCCTTTGGGATCTTGTTTGCTATGGACTGTGGCTATTAGAGTGCTGTCATGAGTCAGGCATTGGTCATGCTATCCTGTTCTTTGGAGCATGTTTTCGTTTCAAAGCCATACTAGAATATTTTGATCAGCAGGATGGTCTGCGTAAACTCTACAATGTCATCAGCACTCTGAACATTCTTTCCTTGGATGGCACTGAGGACATGAGTGAGGATGTAGAATTTGCATCTCGACAGGCAGTGCGGCATGTATGTGGTGCTCTTAAGCAGTATTTTGAGGCTCATTTAGCAATTTTTGCTGATGAGCTGCAAGGACATTCACGCTCCCAAGAGCGTGAACCAGGCTGCTCTATGAAACCATCCAAAGTTGTCGTTGAGAATCTGAGAGAGCAGATCCAGTTGGTGATAGAGCTGAATGGCCCACGTAGAAGAATGAAGCCTGTGATAGAAATCCATAAATTGGGAGGTGTGACACTTCTGCTGCGTATAGTGGGATTGTCCTTTGATTGGAACTATTCTGGCCGTGCTGAGACTGTTCGCTCTGCCCTTGATGTTCTTGCTGTTTGTGCCATCATGCCAAAAACTCAAGAAATTTTTTGTGAAAAGGTTGAGCTTCCAGATGAGGCAAATGCTGTGGGCATGGGTATCATTCTTAGTGCTGCTGAGGGTGAGATAGTAGCAGATGCAGAAGTGCAGAAAGCCGCCCTGAATGTGATCATAACGTGTGTCTGTGCCCCCATGATGTCCATCATAGGTAATCTGGGTTACTATTCAGCAGCCACGTCTACCATCAAAAAGCACCCTGTCATGAAGCAGGGAACTCTACTCAACCGCATATGGGAATGTGTTCGTGCAAACAATGGTATCATGGGTCTGATGGGCCTAATGCTTGTGAAAGCTCCCATCACTGATGCTGATTCAATTAGAGCCTTGGCTTGCCATGCACTAGCTGGTTTATGTAGAAGTGAGAGTGTTAAGCAAGTGGTAGGAAAGCTGCCCCTCTTCTCAACTGGCCAGCTTCAGATTTTAATGAGGGAACCTATTTTGCAAGAGAAACGTCAAGAACATGTGAAATTCTGTAAGCATGCTTTGGAGCTGCTTGAGTTATTGGCAGGTGGTAAGAGGAAAATGAGTGGCAATGAACATGAAATCTCCCTTCAGACCATTCACAAGGCTGATGTTGTGGCCCAAACTCGAATTCGATACAATGAGAAGCAGTTGTTGCACCTTATCCATCATCACCTACTGTTGAAAGGTTATCATGAGGCTGCAGCAATGGTGCAGCGGGAAGCCAGTCTTCCTTCTGTGCGGATGACTCACACTATTCCCAAGCCTCCTCCACCTCCACATGGCCTAACTCGAGCACGACAGTCATCTTATGGGATTCAGTCTTCAATTCTCAGTCCTCGACCAGTTGTACATGGTCCTAGTTCCAGCATTCCTCTGTCTTCTCCCATACGTCTCACTCTGACAAATACTAGGGAGAGGTCAAATTCTGGCCATTCATTCCCCGGATTACATTCTGTTCGGTCACTGCAGAAGAATTTTGGTTATGAAAGTCCTATCAGCAGCAAAATGAGCTTGCATGAACGGCAAGAAGGGAGCACTTTTGTATCAGGTCAAGAAGTTGTGACACTAGATAGCATAGTAACAGAGTATCTGATGAACCAGCATGCTTTGTGCAAGAATCCCATGGTCACATGTCCAGAATTCGATCTCTTTATCCCACACCGGTGTCCTGGCCCAAAGTTAGCACGCAGTGCACCTCTCAATCTCACAGCTCGAATTGCTCGAAAATCCATTTTCCCAGTTCATGGTGGATGTGATGGTGCAGCCCTTACTAGGAAGTTGATATACTCCCGCTTTCGTCCCTTGGTGACTTACCGCTGTGAGGAGGAAGCAAGGAGACACTTCACATGTTGTCATTTCACACCTTGTGAGCAGTTCATTATTGCAGGTAATGAGCGAGGAGATCTTAAGCTCTTCAACATTGCCACAGGCACAGAAGAAGCCACTTACCCTTGCCATGATTCTGGAATCATCCATGTTGAACCAAACAAGTCTGGGAATCTCTATTTGACATCTTCCCAGTGGAGGCGACCCTTATCATCAGTGTGGTCAGTAGGGGAATTTTTTGAACTCAAGTTCTCCTTGGATGATCAAGAATATGCTGAGTTTAGTAAGCTCACAGAAGATCATATAGTGGGTACAAAAGGAGAAACTGCTCAAATTTTTAGTGTTGCTACTGGGCAGAAGGTAACATCATTTGTCCCCAATCCTGGCATGAGCAACCATTATATAAAGAATAAGGCTACATTCCATCCATCTGATGAATTGATTTTGTGTGATGGTGTTCTCTGGGATGTCAACAGTGGGAAATTAGTGCACAAATTTGATAAGTTCAATCAATCCATCAATGGTGTCTTTCATCCTAATGGACGTGAAGTCATCTCCAATACAGAAGTGTGGGATGTGAGGACTTTCCGCCTCCTTAGGACTGTACCAGCTCTGAATCAGTGTGAATTGACATTTCTGCATAATGGGGATGTTTTCTTTGGGATTTCTCTGGAACGGGCTTCTGAGAACTTTGATGCCCTGGAGACTTCATTTAGGTCTTTTGATGCTCGTGACTATACCACCCTCGCAACCATTGATGTGAAAAAATCTATTTATTGCTTGGCAGTGGATTATCGGGATCTCACCATTGCCCTTGTGGAGAACACACGGGAATTGTCTGATGTTTCTGATAGTGTGGTGCGAACATTTGAGATAGGAATGACCCGTGATGAAGATGTTGGGGAAGATGAAGATGATGAGGATGGTGGGGTTTCTGATGACCAGAGTGAACCTTCTGATGATGGTTCTGGGTCTCTAGAGGATGAGATGATTGAATGGTTGCAAAATGAATTTCCTGACTTACCAAGTTCCCAGAATAACAATGAAGAAATTGATGAGGTGGATAGGGTCAGCTTATCAGGCACTTCAGATACATCAGATCCAAGCTTTGGAGGCTCTGACTTAGTTGAAAGTTCTTCTTCATCAAATTCTGTGGTGAGTGAAGACTCTGGTTCATTGAGTGATGCACTGATTGAAGGTGATGATCTGGAAGCATATGAACTTGAGAGTACTGCCAGTTCTGAATACTAAGATGATGGGTAACATCTTTCCAATGTTGTGATACTTCATGAATGTGGTGTTTTCAAAATTATGAGTAAAACCATTCATGTCCTTGAAGATTTGCTTTCAGTGCCATGTCTCTCTCTTTTGAGGGAACACTTCTAAGTCGTGCATTTTTTGAATTGCCTCAGTCTTATCCCTTTCTTTTTTTTTTTGCTTTGAGGCTTTTTTTTTCCCTGGGGGACAGATATACCAGTGTGGAAACTTGCTTTGATGGGAAAAAATTATATACATGAGCTTTCCCCCCTACATATTTATGTGACAATTTGGTAAAAGAATGAATAAAGTACTAGTTTTCTGCACTGGGTCTGGAAGCTGCAATACAAAACATTACCATTACTTGCTACCTCATGATCATGTCTACACCTTCATTAAATCTTTCATCTGGCAAAGGGATTAACTCCAGTCTGGAAAATCTTTGTAAATTTTGAATTTCCCTCAGATGATCAAATTGTTCAGCAAGCCCCATAACAAGTACTGATTGGTTGTTTTTGTCCCCTCTTGCATCTTTTTCATTTCTCTTCTCGATCTAGACTTGAAGGAATTTTCAGGTTGCCTAGAGCTGCTGCCCTTACTTTTTTGTGAGTACATAGGAAATAAAGGGCATTCATCATAAATACTATTTTTGCCTAGTTGGTCAGGCAGGATCCAGTTACTTTGCTGATATAATAGCCCTCATGCCAACTTTCAATTCTTGGATGAACCAATTCCAATTTAATTTAATGGGTCTTTTTTTAATGAGGCTAAAATGCAAATGTGTAAAGGAACAGAATTCACCTTTCCAAAAAAAACAGTGGTGGATGCAAGGAAAGGAGATGTTTGCCCGAACAGATCCCAAGCCCCACAGCTATCTGGCCCTTCTTGGCTCTTATTTCACACAGTCTCTATGACCCAGTCTCATTCCCCATCTTGCTAGGACACAAATTCTATCATAGAAGGAGGACAAATGTGGCTCTGCCTCAAATGGATCTCAGGATTCCAAGCAATTTTCTTTTTCCCACCCACAGATACCACACTTCTTTTTTTTGAGTGGTATATATGATATTTATTCAATCGTGCTCAAAAGATTTAAGGACCCATTGAAGTTCATCATTGCCAGCATAGAAGCATAGAAAAGTATACAGCACATATTTACACATGTATGTTGATTGAATATAATTTTTATAGAATGGAGTTACCTCATATCACCCTGTGCCACATGAAGTACATTCTGCTATGAAAACCACACAAAGAATGGTCTTATAAACCTATTTGGACTATTAAAAAAAATGGTTTTCTTGTTGAAAATGAATAATATACAGCCCCATAAATAATAAACTGAACAGAATCTTCATGACATGTTTTGGTGGGTGGTCTGTCTTGACAATTGTGATGAAAATAGCTTTTCAGAGGGGTTGAATGAGGTTGAGGCTTAAATGAGACTTCTTTCAGGTATGAAGTGAATGTGAATTTCTATTAATTTGAATCAAAGAATGCTGTTGTTTCATGAATCTCCTGATAGTTTTTAGTTGACTCACTAACCCAATGAAAATATTTTGAAAACTGAATGAATGAGACTTGAATATAGAATCTTTCATAGTCAAAATGAGTAAAGGAAAATTTTGTTGAAAGAAATCCTCTCCAATCACCACAAGGTGCTGTTTTTGGGAAACTTTACTCCTGGAATAGCAGCAGGCAGCTTAGAACTTTGTGACAGATCCTGGCACTTGCAACACTATTGGTTAAGATCCAATCCAGACTGTGCCATAGGTTCAATACAAATGTCATTGCATTTGATGTTGAAAAAATTAGCCAGAATATGTGGGGAAAGTTCTAATCTGTTGTATCCCTACCTCCAAATCTTTAATCATGTTGATTCATTTCTGTACGGTTCAAATCAAATCAAGAACTGAATTTCTTGGTAAAGAATCTAACCCTTTCAAGAGCAGGTTCTGCTTCATATGCAGGGAAGTTTCCAGGGTGTGCCTATGTTGTACTCTAATTTGCAAATGCCTGTGTATCAAGGAAGCAAATCTGGAACAAAGGGGAAAGAAAAAAAAAACTAAAAACCAAGTAATAGTAATAATTTATCATGTGATATCCACTAAGCACAGGTCCATGCACAAGCCAATGTTGCCCCTGGTAAGCTTGAAGCATGACCTCATGCAAGATTTCTTAAGACTTCGAGACTTCTGAAATCCATTTACAGCACCATGCTCTTCAACACCTTTGATGTGTGAAAATTCTAAGTGGCATGTTGCTCTTGAAAGAGTTAATTCAAAGTGCTAATAGCTGCTTTCATCAATATTTTGTGTGTTTTGCAAACAGCCATCAATCTCAGGCCCATATGATTGCACAAGTGTGAATGATATAACTTGTATGATAGTATTTAGTAGTGGTTCTCAAGCCATGTGCCTCTGCAACAAGGGTTCTTCAAGAGACTAACAAGGATGCTATGGATAGTCAGTTTTTCCTTCTGGCATGTCACCAAAGGAAGGCTAGAATGCCAAGAGACAACATTCACTCCATTGCTGGTTTAATTGAGGAGCACTGCCTGGAGTTGGTAGCAAACCTCTTTCAAAGACCCATTTTCCTAGTTCTTCATTTTTTGTTTGATCTATATTGTTGCATAAAGAGATCTGTGAATGTGCAAGGGTGCCACAAATACCTCACTGCCTGAAATTTTATCGTTGTTGCTGAGGAAAGGTTGAGAGCTGTTAACATACAGGATCAAATATGATTAAATCTAGAGATAAACTTTTGCTTGTATATTGAAGTCCTAGTGAACTGATAACCACCCATTGGGCTGCTAATGTGAGAAAGTTGCAGATGCTATTCAAAAGATTAAGATGAGTGGATCTAATGATGTGAAGAAAATTCCAGGTCTTAAGCAAAGCAAAAATGCAATGTGTCTCATAAGGTTTTCCAAGAAAAATGACATTACAGTTCTGACAAGATGAAAATTAATTGTTTCATTTCTTTGAAGGGGGTAAGAAATTGGAGCTTTTGTTCCCTAGGTGACTACAATGAATCTAGTTTGACATAGATGCAATATCTGATGATGATCTGTACATCATATATTAATTTGAACTGCAACTGCACAATATAATGCTGTTTTATGTTGTCATACATCCATGTATAAAGTCATATGCAGGTTCTTCTTGTCAAAGATTGTGATAAAGAAGTTCAAGTGAGACAGATGTGCTTGCCAATTTACTTCAATGAAAAACACTTTAGATGTAAGAAAAATATAAAGTGTGGCAGCCATACCTCATGGCCACATCTGGTTGCCTTTATTCTTGTTGCATTTTCACTGCTCATGCCTCCAGGTGCCCTTGGATATGACATCAATTTTGCAGTTTATTTTGTTTGCACTGATCTGTATGTCATTAAGACAGAAAGCTCTTCATCCCTAGTAGAAATGCAAATAGTATTTGTATTCACATTCAGGTTTGGTCCTAGGTCCTAGGATGAGTTATCATGCGAACCTGGGGGAGGGGGGCCTAATTAAGGCAATAAAAGATGTTGGGAAGGGGGGATGGTTTTTTGGCTCTCATACAAAATTGTAGATTAAAACTAGCTGAAGTGGAACACCTATGACAATGCCAGCATTTATATGTAAAGGGAACTACTTGCTCATATAAAGTCTGCCCAAGCCCCATCAGGCTGAATGCAGATTTATTGCCTGAAAGGAGCTATATTTTAAGTGAAGTATTGTCACCCTGTGGAAGCTTTTAAAAACAGATTAATAAACTTTAATATAAACTTTGTCAAAGGGTGGATTTTGACCAGGGTTTTTTCTTTAGGGTTGCTTTTGGGGTTCATTTTTAGGGGATATTCATTCCTGGTGAGTGTGTCATTTAATTAAATATGCCATTCTTATTGGTCAAGGGAATGAAACAAAATGAGAATTTTTCCTCACATAGGGGCAGTCAGTGAGGTTAAAGAGGGACTTCATTCCATGTGGCATTCACACACATGCTGTATGATCTCATGCTTTGAACTGACCTTTGTGCTCTTTTGTCCTAGTCATACACGTACCTGTTTGCCATATCACATCCTATATCCAGTAACGTTAAAATCGCTTCTTCTAAGGAGAAAAGGAGAGTGATGTGGGTTAATTCAATTTTGCCATGGAAAGTCACTATTACTACAGCTCATCATTGTATTCACACATATACAGGGTTGGTTAAAAAAGAAAAAAGTAAGCCACTTTTAATTTCACTATAAAATCCATAATGGATTGAAATGGATTGACTTAAAGATTTAAATGAACATTGCCCAATATGTTCTCAAAGAGCTGTTGAAGTTTCATCCACCTTTGGCATCCACTCTTGAGTTATGGCATATTTTGTCAAAATTGTCAAGATTCTGAGTGAACAGGCATGCAACTGCTGTTGTGAGACACAAATCAACATATGCATGGGAATGCCTGGAAATCTATACACATACATAACATTTTCAGATGATGAAAAAAAAAAAGAAGAAATTTGACAATGTCCTGTTAAGTTTTCATAATGATCTGTCCAGAGAAACACATTTTTAAAAACAGAAATCAAATGTGAATTCTTGCCTCACGGTAGTAGTCACATGCCTGCTCATATGGAAAGATCATTTATGGTAGTTATATGCAATTATCTGTGCCATATAAATTCATAGGTTTTCATGTATTGAAGTATGAACTCATATATGAGGGCATATATGATTGAAGCAGATGATCCATGTAGGGATTATTCATATATTGAACATACCTGAGCAGCATATATGTTCTATATAAAATAATTCTGTGGTTTGAGGGATGAGCTCCTGCATATATGATGATGTACCTGGTTTAAGGATATGATTTTTATAAAGGACTTTCATATACTGTGTATACTTGTTCATACATATTTTCAAATGAAATATATTGATAAAAATATATATCCCATATGCATAAGGTACTGTAAACAATTTATATGGTATGGTCATACCCAGACAGCACAGTGGCATCC